CCGGTCCCGGTGCCGCTCCCGGAGCCGCTCCCGGAGCCGCTCCCGGTGCCGGTCCCGGTGCCGGTCCCGGTGCCGGTCCCGGAGCCTGCCCGTGCTCCCGGTGCTGGTCCCGGTGCCGGAGCCTGCCCGTGCTCCCGGTGCCGGTCCCGGAGCCGCTCCCGGAGCCGGTCCCGGAGCCTGCCCGTGGGATGGGCGCTGAGGAGGGGTCAGGGCAGCCCCTTTGGAGCCGGGCAGTGCTGGAAGGGCTCAGGATCCCCCGGCTGGACAGGGAGAGGGGCTGCCGCAGCCCTGGCTGTGCCACAAAGGGCATTTTCCCCCAGGGGATGCTGCTGGCTGCTGGCAGAGCTAAGGGTGAGCTCTGGGGCTCATCGTTCTTGCAGGGACATCCGAGCAGCTGTGTGGGGCTGGAGCTGCTGCCCACACCCCACGTCTGACCATTTATTTTTGTTGTTTTGTTGTTTAAATTGGTTTTCTTTCATACAAGGAATTATTTTCCTTGTGCCAGGGTTTAAGCTCCTGATGATGGCTGGTCAGGAACATCATCCTTCAGAAAATGAAAAGGTTTTCATAGAATGGTTTCTCAGTTGAGAGGGACCTCAGAGCCCCCCCAGTGTCCCCAGCCATGGCAGGGACACCTCCCACTGTCCCAATGTCCAGCCTGGCCTTGGGCACTGCCAGGGATCCAGGGACATCCTAAATAAATAAATGAATAAATTACCCAGGTTTAAGAATAAATGAATTGCTGACTGCTCTGGGTACTTGACTGCAGCCTTTAGTCCCCCAGCATGTTCCACAGCCCGTTCTCAGCACTGTGGTGGCACAGGACATGTCCAGCCATAACAAGGTTTATTCTAAGTAGCCAAAGCAATATGTAAATGACCTGCTTTAAGTAATAATTACATTATCATTTCAAAAGTCACTTAAAAAATGGCTTGCTGCATATAGATGTATGTTTGTCAGTGCTTTTTATTGCCAGCACTGTACTCCAAAGGAGTTTAAAGAGAAGTAATAAGTGTAGGGTTATCCCTTCTCTCTCCCTGCACTCACACTGGCTTGCACTTCAAATTCCCCTGAAGGTCTCCAAGCAGAATTAGATCTTACTTTGTATGCAAATATATGGAATAGATTCTCAATATGGGCTGGGTCAAACTTCACTGACATTGAAGGATTGCAGCTGACTTTTAGGGATTTGTAGCTCTGGGGGAAGTGAAGTGACCACGGGCAGGGCTGGGGCCATCGGTCACTTCCTGGCCATTAGGTGGGCAGGGAATGTTTTGTGGGGTTGGTTTGAGGCCCTGCACACTGGTTGAACGTACTGGGAGGGAATACTGGGAATACTGGGTCACCTCAGTGCAGTGATGGGGCTGCCATCCCTGGCTCTGCTCTGGGTGCCGAGGCTGGGCTGAGCCAGAGGCTGATGTTGGAGGTGATCTCCAGCCTCGGTGGTTCTGTGGTTCAGCAGCCCCAGGGAAGGGCTGGGTGAGGCTGTGTCCCCTCAGGCAGGCAGGACAGGAGGGGACAGGCTGCACAAGAAATAAACACCTGCAGTGGCCAGAGCGAGAGGAACCTGGCTGGGCTGAGCGAGAGGAACCTGGCTGGGCTGAGTGAGAGGAACCTGGCTGGGCTCTGCAGGGGGAACCTGGCTGGGCTCTGCAGGAGGAACCTGGCTGGGCTGAGTGAGAGGAACCTGGCTGGGCTGAGTGAGAGGAACCTGGCTGGGCTCTGCAGGGGGAACCTGGCTGGGCTGAGCGAGAGGAACCTGGCTGGGCTCTGCAGGAGGTACCTGGCTGGGCTGGGCTCTGCAGGGGGAACCTGGCTGGGCTCTGCAGGGGGAACCTGGCTGGGCTGAGAGAGAGGAACCTGGCTGGGCTCTGCAGAGAGGAACCTGGCTGGGCTGAGTGAGAGGAACCTGGCTGGGCTGAGCAGAGAGGAACCTGGCTGGGCTCTGCAGGAGGAACCTAGCTGGGCTCTGCAGGAGGAACCTGGCTGGGCTCTGCAGGAGGAACCTGGCTGGGCTGAGTGAGAGGAACCTGGCTGGGCTCTGCAGGAGGAACCTGGCTGGGCTGGGCTCTGCAGGGGGAACCTGGCTGGGCTGAGTGAGAGGAACCTGGCTGGGCTCTGCAGAGAACACCCCCGGGGTGCTGGGCACACAGTGACTGCCCAGGGGCTGTGTGGTCGGGCTGCTCTCCCTGCAGTGTCTCAGCTGCACGGATCCAGAGTGGGAACAAGCTGCAGGGTCAGAACTGGCTGCTCCCTGAACATCTGGCACCCAGCTGTGCACAGCTTTGTTTTTCTGGGAAGGCCAGAGGGTTTCATTTTGGATGGGGGAAGGTTGGGGGTGAGTTTGGTGTGTTGGGAGATCAAGGATGTTCAGTTGCTGAAGCAAGTGGAGGCAAAGAGAATTTATTAACTGTAGTGTCTCAGAAAAAGAGCAGTTTGATCTCAGGGAAAGCCTTCCAAGTGGGCCAGACTGGCTGGATATAAATCAAACTCTCATGTGGCTGGATCAGGGGAGGCAGAGTTGGAGTGGAAGGACAGAAAAAGTGTTGAGGCTTGCTCTGTAAGCAAGCTGAACCTTCTGTGGGGATCTGTGCTCTCGGCAGGGGCATGGCCTGGGCTGGAATTCCTGGCTTTTCATGCTGGCAGGACTGCAGCTGGACAGGTCAGGAGAGCCCGAGTGGGATGGGCACTCGATTACAGCTGGGTTTGAGCCCCAGTCAGAGCAGGAGAAACTGTCCTGGGGCTGCCTTGTGCTGCTGGCCCGGGCCAGTCCCCCTTGTAAGGCTGGCTTAAGGCTTGGCTTGTTCCTTTTGCTTTGTTTGCTCAGGGTTAGATTGCTGTGTGTGATTGGGAACTCTCAACAGTGCTTGCATTTATTCTGGATGATGGATTTAATTTTGCAAGACCTGAATACCTTCAGTGAGGGGGCTGCTCGCTGTCCTAAGGTGTGGCTGTGGGATTTACTGGGCAGTAAAACAGAACTGCAGCCCCCAGACTGTTAAAGAGCCCGAGAGGACAGAGAGCCAGGGGGGCATTTCTGCCTCCCCTTTCCAGGAGGAATCATTCTGGCAGTATTTCCAGGGCTGTCAAGGCAAAGCTGCAGCTCCCCAGTTCCCATTGCCATGACAACCTGGGCACATCCAGAGCTGCTCCAGGAGCTGCTGTGCCTGCGAGGAGAGAGCTGGAGCCTGGCCAGGAGCCCCAGCTGCCCACCCTGGGGGTGCTGGGGGCTCCGAGCCCAGCTGAGAGCCCAGGGGCTTCCAGGAGCTGCTGCTGCTGGGTCTGCACCCTGCTGTTCCTTGGAGGATGAGACACAAGGCTGTTCCTGGTGCTCTGAGGTGCTTCCTGCCTTGCCTTTCCCCAGGGCCCTGTGGCTCCGTGCAGGGGGTGGCAGAGCAGTGTGGGCTCCTCTCTGTGGATCCCTGCAGTGGGTTTGGAATGTCAGCTCCCTCCCAGTGCCCCCACCCTGCCCTCTGCAGTGGGAAGCCATTCCCTCGTCCTGCCACTGCCTGTTCTTCCCCAAGCTTTGGGTTTTTCACTCCAGGGAAAGGCTCCTCCCGTGTGGGAGCACAGAGGAACCTGAAAGTTACTGTGGGTTTTCCAAGGAAACCCAAACATCGCTCCAGGTTCTCCTGTCTGGAGAACTCAATGCCAGCACCTCCTTTGCTCTGATGGAGATTTCCTGGAAGAACATTTAACTCCTGATCAGAGAGGTTTACCTGAACACATGATCAGCATGAGGTTAAGCACCTGAAGTTGTTTTTTTAAGAAATACCTTTCTCTTCTTTGGGATTCTCTGACAATTTCTCAGCTCCGTGTGTCCTGGCTGGCTGCAGAGTGAAATTCCAGAACTCTGGGTGGTTTCTCAGTGTGCCAGGTTCTTCAGAACTGATTTCTCACAGGACCATTCCTGAAGGCATTGCCAGGTGCCCATCTGTGTTTACTTACACACACTAACTGGAGCTTTGGCTGTCTCTCTGTAATCTTCCACTGACATTCCTCGTGCTCCTTCCTCCATCTCAGGTAAATGGAATTGGCTTGGAATGGTTTGAGCTGAGTTTATTTTCTGTTCTGGGGTGCTTTAATAATTGAAGGGAAGTTGTGAGAGGGCTCTGCCTGCTGTTCCCTGCTGTTTGCTGGGGAAGGGGTGAGAGGGGGGAGCTTTATATTTATATTTAATATAAATATAAATTTTATTTTATAAAAAATAAATATATTTATTTATATTTATCCTCCCAGATAAAGCAATATCTGATCCTGGGAATATTTCTGGGGAGTTCAGGGCCCAGCCAGGATGTTCTGCTGTGCTGGGTGGCCACCTTGGGCTGATGGAATTCTTTAGAAGCTTCCACAGCTCCTCTTAAAACTGAGGATGGGGATTTTGGCATTTGCAGATGTTAGTGATGGCAGGGCTTGGAAAACCCTGGTCTGGTGGGGACATCGTGTGTCCCTGGGGACATCCCAGTGCCACCATCCTGCAGAGACACAGCCCTGGGCTCCCACTTTATTTTCCTCAAAATCTCCAACTGAGGGTTGCAGGGTTGGTTTTTTCTCCTTTTACATTGAATTATTCAATAGTTGAAGTGAGTAAAATTAAAGATTTCTAGACTGGTGACGTTTGGAATATAAGAAGGATAGCAAAATCTGTTTCATTTGAACTCTAATCTCTGGTCATG